TAATGCTGAGGTGAAGGTTAAGCAAATATTGTACATAGCAGTTTACCTCCATCTTTCTTTTTAAAAAAAACACCGTAATCTTAAGAGTCATATCTTTAGTTAATCATGTGTTAAAAAGCAGTAATTTATAGTCTTTCTATAGCTTTTAAGTGAATATATGAATACAAACAATGTTGGTAACACATGCGGTTGCATTTGTTATGTCCCAGTATGGTCCTGGAATGGCAGAAGACATTCCTGAAAACCAAGGTCATATCAGTTACTGGACTACAAATACTAGCACAAGCTCTGTTCTGGCAACAGCTGTATAGTTTCCTAAAAGATTTCATTGTCACACAGGAGCTTAAAGACACTGATTTCTCTTTTCCTTTAGATACACTAACTAAACATCAGCAAAGTTATTTAACAGGAGATCACTTAAGCATTTTATTCTTCTGTGCTCATTCTTAATGGAGCAATTACCAGATCAAATAACTTCCAAACAACACAGGTACATCTACCTTACATAAGAAGTTCAAAAACTGCCCTGAATAATCATTAAGAGTTGTCAATAAAAATCTAGCTTTTCTCTTAGGAAAAAGGAACAAYTACATCTCTGAAGATTATTTAATGAAACAGATTTTGAGGTAAAATGAATGACTAATTAAAAATAGAATTGTGAACTAAAGAAAAGGTTTGTGTTATATGTAGGAAGTTAATGGATTATAATGGAGTTCTGTACTCTAAAGCTCTATTTCACTCTAACTGTGCTCAAAGGCTGTGACGATTTGCAAYCTTTCACAGATCTCAAATTAAAGAAGTATTGACTATTTTATTTCCAAGATGAATGTGGCTAGATGCTTCAGAGTAAAAGTAATCTCACAGAGTGAGGAGAAGAAAACAAAACAAAAAAGCAGTKGGAGAGGGAAAAAGTACTGATTAGGATTAGAAAGCCAGGTGAAATTGCATAGACAAGTTCATAAAAACAGAAATGCAACAGGCTACAAATCTTGTTGTGGTCAAGCGGAAATTATTTTCTATTATCTCCTTGCACTTTTCCTTACTAAAGACATAATTAACATGTGCAAAGGGAAAAAGCAGTTTTCTGCCAAAGTGTTCTGAAAGATTCTATTTAGAGCAGTTAGGCTGGGGAGGCAGCATGGAGTGTTTTGTGCTTCACAATCTACCTGTAGTGTATCTASTATATATCCACATAATATATTCTAATTATCTTAAAAGATTAAACTAACTGTGCAGCCTAAGGCAACAGTTATCACAGCTGGATCTGAAGAATGCTAACAGCACAACATTTTAAAAAGGAATAGTATCAGATTCTACAAAGCTTTATTAGACATGACAGCGCTTTGTACCAGCTTTGGGACTTGAGTTCATTATTAGTGAAAGTAATTTAATTTCTAGAGATATTTTAGATGTTATCACCTTTGTTTACTATCTCCTGTTGGGTTCACAAGACTATGTTTCTTTCAAAAGTAAAAATATTTATATGTGCATATATGTTAACCTATTGTATAACACGTACAGTTCTCACACATGTACACAACTCTCATATACTTGACAAGAAAAACCATCTTCAAACAAAATAGCAGGCAAAAGGCAGATAAAAGCCTTTGATCCTTCCTAATGGAAAAGGAACCTTCATTTCCACATTTTCATTTACTTGCTTCACACACCTGGTGCCAGCTAAGGAGCAGGTGTGCAGCGATCCCTTGGGAATGTTTTACCAAAAGCAGGTGAATGATATATCCGATACAACTTTATTCTTCTGTATTTGTTCTAAAATTGCTATGGAAAATAGCCCATTTTTTCCACACTGACTGGAAGCGACTCAGAAGTCAACAGACTCATGTTTGCATTTACACAGAACTCMAAAACTGATATGATTATCTTAATTACGTTTCAATTTAATTTGAAAAAACAAAACGTTACAAGGTATTGTAGTTCCAAGTAGAGAAAACATCAGATACTACAATACTTGTCTTCTTCCTGCTTCCCTTAGCCTCAAAGGGCAGCAAGAGTGCACAGGCCTGTTCGTGTTGAAGCCTTTGCTCTTATCAGAGCTGCTAGTACCTAATCATTTTCAAATGGATATGATCCACCTTCTCCCAAAATCTGAGCAGCTGCAAACTTCTGCAAAGTTTGGAGCTATTTTGAGCCATCTGGATTACAGGCTATCACTTTTCAAGTATAATCAGTATTTTTTCTTAACAGCGATTTATTAATTTCAGCATATACTCTTGACAATTTTTTTGCCTACTTTGGTTTGAATTTGTGGTAATTATACTGTATGTACAAGCACAAGAAGATATTTTCAGGTGCTGGAAACAATTAGGATTAAACATAGTAGTGAGACATGGGCAACGCCATTCAAAGAAGACATACAAAAAATCAAAATCTGAAGCAATTAAGAAAATCTATTACTAAATGTAGTTATTAAACAAGCCTTTTAGCATTCTAATATCAATAAGGAATCAGCCAAATTCAGGTGTGATTGCATAACACAGGAATAAACTTCAACTATACTTTACTCAGGTAACCTAACTGCCAGAAGAGCAGGAAGAAACACCAACACGTGCGCAGCATGACAGTCCTACAAGTATCAAATAGTTAATAAAAGATATTGAGGAGGGATTTGCAACAGAAGACCATAAATAAACTGGTGAATTAAATTAAAAAAACTATTTGTGAATGAGTAATATAAGAAAATCAGGTGAAACAAAGGTGACAGCTGGTTGTGAGCAAAGGAGAGGACAAAAGCATCTCTGTAACAGAGATGTTTGATGCCTTCTTCAGTCAAGGAAAGGATCAAAATACAGGTTAAGACTACCTTCTACAGAGTTGAAGAGATGCAACAGAGTGCCTGAAGTTAAGTTGCTGCTATTATGTTTTGAAAAGATCATAACAGATACAAGATATATAAGATTAGAATCAAGAGTTTTGCAATTTCAAGGGCATTAAAATATTGAGGACAGGATTAAGAACTTTTACTATCATGACAGATTTTGTGCAAGTTAGAGAACTACACTTGCCACTGTAAGAAACTAAAAGTTACTCCAAATCTACCTTTCAGCTGTAGCTATGCATAAGCTTGCTAAATTACTGGTATCCACTCCAGAGAATTTTTACTGCAAGAATGTTTGTTCATTGAGGTAGATGGAGACCACTTCTTTCACATAAGGACTTCCCTATCTTACATATGCACAAGCAGGCTACAAGTGAAGAGCAGGATTCTTTGCATTTCAGCAGACGTGTAGGTCAGTCTAATAAATCCATATTAGATGAAATTTCAAGTTATGCCCACAGTTTTTTTCTAAAGCAGGCAACCCAGTCAAAAGTGGCAATTTTGCTTTGCTGTTCTGTTTCTGGAAAATGAGGTAGGGAAGAAAACTGTGTCATACAGTCCTTCCTAGATCCAAAGGGATATATAAATTAGAAAGGGGATAACATTTCACGGTAAATGGAATGGAAACTCTCTGCCCTGCTATTGTTTATTCAAACATTTAGCTCTATACAAAATATAACCAGTACTTTCAATTTGTTTTTACATGAAATCTGCATATTATACTTCATTATATTAAAATAACATTTATATAAAATAACATTTACAGAAACGCAGATATTATGAACATAAATCCATTATCATTTCTCATGTCTTTATAAAAGCTTAGCAGACCCTGAAATACTTTCTAGTAATTTGACTACTTAGTCATTCTGGCATAAAATCAAAACAAAGCAACCTTTGTTAACTCATGCATCAAACAAGAAACTCTGGAGTTCAAAATAAACATGTCTTTTGTCCATTATGCAWTTTTTTTTGTCATGTTCTATATTTTAGGTTTCTATTTAGCTAGCAAATTAAACGACCATAGTACCCACTGTTAGAGCTATGACCAAGATTATTTCATCCCAGGCATACAACACAGGCCTAGACTCTAGCTAGCATTGTAGGTTTCCAAATGCAGCAATAGCATGAACCCAGATTATTGTAGGTCTTTTATATTCTGTTTCACCACAGATGTTAAGGGCATTTCACATGCACACAGTCTCAATATGTATTTTATCAAGGGAATAAGAGCAAATACATTAGATAGATAAAATCTCAACAAATAAGGTCTAAATGGTGCCTTCGTGTTTCAAGGATGCATGAAAGGAAGTAGAGCTTTAATTCATTTAAAAAAACTCTCCATCTGTCTCCGTGGAAAAGATATGAAATCTAAGGCATTACTTTCTATTCCCTTTCTGAACACCATTCAAATGAATTTCAATATTTTTTTTTTTCTGCAGGAAGAAAGAGAACCGAAAGCAGAACAGACTATTGTGTGCTGTAACTCTGCAATTTGTCTCCTAACTTCCAAGGAATTATTAATGAGATATAGTACTTTACATAAAGCTACAGTAGTAAATGTTTTGTAATGAGCTATATATATGTATATTGATCTCTTATCTTCCAGAAAGGAAGGGAAASGAGAAAGGAAAGGATGGAAAGGGAAGGGAAGGGAAAGGAATGGAAAACCGAGGCAAGAACAATGTTTACTCCTTGACACTGCAAGACAGCTGTATTAACATACACCTTTTCACGGAAAAGGCATGGTTTCTCAAAATCCACCTAAGGTCCTATTGCTGATCATTATCTATTTACTTAAATAATAGTGTTTGGAATCCTAATAACACTTTTTCACGTGATTATGTAACAGCTGGACAATGTAAATTTGATCAAATACCTGTTCTCTGCATCTACTGATTCTCTCAGACAACAAATCTGAATTATTCTTTTCTTCGTCAAGCTCAAGTTCCAGGTGAGATAACTTGTCCTAAATGGAACATACAAAAGTTATTTCAACATATTAGTCTTCCATCCTCTTCAGATTCCTATCAGGCCTTTCTTCCATAAACTTCAAGAACTAAAACCGATTGAGAAGTGAAATGCCTCTAAACATATGCAGAAAAACTAGGGAAAAAAATCTCAAAATAAATTTGCTTGTCTGAAAGAACTTTTCTTTTTTAAACAATTCTTCCAGTTTTAAGAAAGAGAAATTCTGTAATTAAAATACTTGTTTTAGAAACTTTTTTCAGATTTTACAAGTGGCAAAAGTTTTCTTCAATAAGCAAAACATATGAGTACAATGATATAAAAGTGTTTATGGAAATCAGTTTTGGGCTTTCTTGAACCAAACAATTAACCTAACCTGATAACAACTTAATTAGAATTATGATTTAGGCTCCTGAAACTCTGAAATTAACTGATTTTTAATGCTAAATAGAACTTACCTTCTAAATGCTTTTAAAAGTCTGGGTAAAAGGCCTATGAATAACACTCCAATTTTACCTGATGAACTTTAAGTGAAATTAATTAAAAAGATCTTACATTTATCATCAGTTAAAGAAAGTAACGAAAGAACATGTACAATTGCTATTTAGAATACATTATGCTATAATAGATTTCGTAACATCGCTTCAAAATACATTAGAATAATTCTTGCATTACTACTACAGGGGTTTTCTATCATATCTAGTTCATTTCTTTCTTCCTAAACAGAATGCACATGACTAAATGATTCCAATCAGTCTAATAAAACAGCTTAGAAAGGGCTTTTACCTCCATTAATTTGATTTGCCTTGCCCGATCATCTTTCAAGTGGTTTTTAGCCTCCAGTTCATATTCCAAACCTCTCACAGTCTGTTCTAGCAGCTGAGTCTTTGTAATTGCCTCATCCTGAGCTCTCTGGTGGTCCTTCAAGTTTTCTTCCATAAGACGCATCTGAAACAAAAGTAATTGCAATAATATACTTTATATTATGCTTTTCATAAATAAATGGTATCTATAAAGGCAATTACAAACATAACATCTGGAAAAAMCAGAAAAAACATACCATATAGTATGATGGGAATTGCATGGACCAATGCTTTCCCCAGTATTTTTTTGTTTTGTCCACAAGGCGGCACCAACCAAATGAACCTTAATCCAAGTTGATGGTGTGAAAGTTCGGAGGCACAGAAGCCTCTACGTTGAACACCATGTTTTATAGTCACACCTATACACATTCATATTTTTTATTTTTCATTTTTTACCCATTACAGCCAATCAAGATTTTTATAACTTTGCAAATGGTTATGTCTTTGTAACTTTTCAATACCATTCCTTCCCCAACACTTTCGTTCTTTCATGTTTATTTTTGTATCATGAAATGCTTAGATGMCATTACAGTATAGCAATAATATAACTGCTAATGTATCTATATCTAATAAATATAGCTTTTTAAATAGAAATATCTACTGAAAAAACTTTTCTATTCTAATCACAATGTATACTCAATAAAACTATCTAGTGACTTCCTAAAAAAAAAGGGATTTAGTAATGGGTGGGCTTTAGCTTTTTAGGCGAGATTATAATGGTTCCTTGTAAGTGTAGCTTAGCTTGTAACATGTCTATAATATATGATGAGAGGTTTCTTCTTCAGTATGCCTTCTTCAGTACAGTTAAGTGCTGATTTTGTTGATAAAGCTAAATTGCTAATAACTTATACAGAATTTGCTATCTGTTGTTAAGTCCTAACACCACTAAAGTTGGACACCTACAAAGTGCATGACCCGCTGAACTGCTAAGTGCAGAGATTGGTATGTTAACAGAAGCATCTCACTTAGCATTTCAGAATGACATTGCACTAACAATTCTTGACGTGAAGGCCTTTAAGACACAGAGAATCTTTAAGGCAGGCAGCAGCAATGAAAAACTCCCATTTTGTCTTGCCAGAAGGTTACACAGATTTACTGTGGCTCCGAGAACAGGGAGATGATCCTGTTGTTCTGAAGACTGATCAATACAGTCCTCACCTTTTTAATGAGGGGCTCAAAAAATACTAGTTGCCCTTAAGACACCTACCCAAGACAGACAAAATAGTCTTGCATACACTGTAAACAGCAAGACTATTGTACCTCTTGTTAAACAGAAAAAGACAAAATAARGATATCCACTTGTCCTGAATGTTTAGTCTCTCTAGAAAAAAAAATGTACTATTTAACCTGCCTTTTCTATCATTTCAGGTATTGCTCCATCTTTTGCAGCTAGTTACTGTACTASATTTTTAATACCCTAACAGCTTAAATACCACCTTGTGATATTTAAGATCAAACTATTAAAATACTTTTTTTTTATAGAGAAAACATCTACGACCAGTACATTCTCATAGTTTTTCCCAAGAGCAGAACAAGTATGTGAAGACATTTAAAAGTCTGGATTGCTTTCATGGAAGAATTTATATGCTAAAGACAGACACTTCAAGACTGTGGCTGATTCTTGGTTGCACAGACAGCTTTTTCATTTAAATTTGCAACTTGTCTCCCACAAAAAAAAAAAAAAAAAGACAATTCTTTAAAAGGACAGAAACATACTTTGGTTTTAYTTATTTCTAAATAATTGCTTGTCTTTTTCTAATTCAAAAATCTTTCCACATTCTCAACTCCATTAGCAGTGAGCAAGAAAAGAGTAACAGATCATTCACAAATCCTTGCCATATCACTTTGATACACTCATCTGTCAGATACACTGCACTTATCCATCCATCCACTATTCCATCCAGAAAATCCTATTTCCCTGGCACAAGTACCACACTGATGATGATCATCATGACGAATGAAATATAGAAACACCTTAGATTGAGATGTCACTCTTGATGAGGTTACACAAAGYGAAATAGCAAAGATCCATTGTCTTGAAAAATATCTGAGCAGAATTCTAGGCCAAAGGCTAAAATATCTCATAGAATTTATGAGCYATTACCTCATCCTGCATTTTCATGTTTGCCAGGCGTGATTTTTCTACCTCAATATTTTTTTCTTTTAATTGTCTCTGCAGTTCTGCAAGTTCTCTGCGATTTTTCTCCTTGTAGTCTTCAAGTTGGTTCTGAAAATCCAAAACTGATGTTCTTGAGATCTCTACCATTTCAGCCATCTGGAGAAAAATGTACATATAAAACACAGTGTGGTATAAACAACATGTTTAATCTAAAGAGTTTTTTTTTCAGCTTCTCCTATACTCAACCCCAAATGCACCATTTAAGAATACTACCAAGCTAATGCTGTGCAAAGATAAATGAATTTCTATGTAAGTGTACAAAGCCACTAAATATTAAGATTATTTTCTAATGGATTGCATGGCCAGACTATGCTCTTTCAGCRGTTCTTTCAGTTGACTGACATAATGAGCTCCACTGTCAAGCTTTAAGATATTATTATCGAGTTGTATAGTTCACATACAGAGAGCAAAATAAATCTCTGATATAGGAGCAATCTGATGAATCAGCTGTAAAACACTGAYATCCAGCTGATGAAGAACTGACTTGGATCTGCAGCATACACTGAAACTAAGCTCAAATCAGAAATCTTGTTTTAACAAAACAGAACTGTTTTACAACAGTATTTTGAGATAGCAGCGTTCCAACTACTGTTCSAGTCCTGAAAGCTTTTATTGATAGTCTCCAGGTAGAGAAATTACTAGCCAAGTTCACATTTCACTTCCTTTTACACGTAAAAATATCCCAAAACTTATTTTGCAATTTGGCAGCTCATTTGCTTCTGTCTGTTAGATATTTAATCTCCTGCTAGCTCTTTGGAATGCACTCATACCTCCTCCTGTAACTTTTCAATGGTCTTGTTTAGTTGCTGTCGTTCATCTTCCATTTCATTCTTTATCTTCTTCAGCTGCTCCTTCTGGTAAATTTCATCTTTTAACTGCTCCGTTAACTGTTGCCGTTGCTGTGAAATACAACTAATGTCCTCCTGCAGGGGGATTTTGAACACAGAAGATAAATTTATATGTACATGTATACTCTCTTTTCCAATATATTAAAAAAAAGTTATGTAATACATTGTGCAGCAGTAATATTAGCACCTGTCATAACTTGAACACAAACCTAAGCTGGAAAAATGGAAAAGTTTATGGACTTACAGGTTGTTTGCTAGTAGAAAGCAAACATTACTAAGGGATGTGGTGCTTTATTCTTGCTATAAAATTCTGAAACTTGCAACATTTGCAGGATATAAGGCAATCCCTTTTCATGTTTCTACTGCATGTGAAGCATAAATTCCTCTGCAGCTGAACATGTGCTGACAAATCCCATGTTATGCACAAACTTCAACACTGACTTCAGGTTTCTTATTTTCCTGACTGACTCCCTTTAACTCAGTGCTAAAGTATTTCCCAACAAAATACTCTTCCTAGGTTAAAAAAAACTTTTCCTACCAAGAGTGAAAATAACTACTGAGGATTTTTTCCCTTTGATGTGTTTCTACAGCACCCAGAAGCTCTACTCAGGATGATATCCCACTGTGATGGGAACTGTGGAAACACAATCACCTAGCAGACATCCCTCCCCTTCCTCAAGAGGCATTTCATGTTAGTGTTCAAAATAGGACCTCCATATCTGCATCAAATTCCGAATGATCTGGAGAGCTATGCTCTACAGTCACCTACGAGGAGCTCAAGAACATCACGTTTACAAACAGACCTAGTGTTTCTGTTGTCACACTCAAGATGTTTAAGAGCCTGGCATCCCTCAGCTTCTTAATCCTGTCCATCAACAGAAGATCTGCCTGTCACTAGTTCATTCCAGTTCGAGTAAAGCAGGTTGGCTTGTAGCTGCATGCGGGGCCCTTGCTTCTACCATCTCCCTCTGTAATAAAATATCCCCCCCGGACCTACTTTAAACAAAGATTGCTTTTATGAAGTCTAACAGGCAGCATGAAACTGTCCAAGACCAGGTTACAGACACTTCAAATTACCCAAATAGAAAAACATAACAAATGAAAATCATCATTAACTGCAAAAAGCACTCTAAAATAGAGCTTTAAATTTTAATTCTGTTTTTAGAAATGCAAAACTCTGCTGAGTATCTAATATACATGCCATTTATTGCATTATAAATAATTTATATGGGAAAACACATTAGCATGTCTGTAGGCATCATAGATTATAAGCCGAAATAAAATTGTACTGTTGTTAAAAGAAAGAAGGCTGTCAGATGATAAAAGGTAGATTTTTTTTTTTTTTTTTTGGATATCTCTTACATTCCTGTAAACACACGTCTGATACAAACACCAAAGCAGCAGACACGTAATACTACAATAAGCTGGGGGCTACTAGATGCTATTCAGCAAAGCCTAATTCTATCAAAGAACTAATTTAGCTGACACCACAGGTTTTAAGAACCTTGAGAAGGTTTGGCTTTAGCACTTCAGTACTAAAAACTGCTGAAATCCTGGGACCCGGCTAATGTGCCATATTCCAACAGGCTATAAAAACCTCATATGCTCCCCTCTATCAGTTGTTCACAGATCATTTAACTTTACAGTTTGTTTACACATCCTTCAGAAACAAACTGTGCAGACACTGATCAGTGAAATAAACTGTGGCAGAATAACGGTGCCAGCGGGAAGCAATCCTGCAGCTGCAGAATGCTGAGAAGGGAGGTGAACACCAGAGCAAATCTGATCAAATCAAATGCAAATGAACAACAACAAAAATACAATTCCTTAATAACTAACTTTTTACAAGGGGAAAATTTCACTTTTGCTAAGTTTAATTTTAGTTCATTCAAACCTAGGAAAGCAATTTTGTTTCAAATTATCATAAAATCTGAAGTTCAGGTGCTTCACGCTCTCCTTCTCCCACATTGGTTTTAAATCAGTTGTCTCTCTCTCTCTCTCTCTCTCTCTCTCTCTCTCTCTCTCTCTCTCTCTGAGCCATCTATCTGCTGAGCCATTTGATGTGCAAAAGGAGTAAACACAGAACTAAACATTTCCTAGGCCCAGCACAGATCCCATCACTCTGCAGCTCCCCCTCGGTACTTTTACTAGTGCTTGGAGAATGCCAAGGTTTCTCTGTAGAGATGTACACGTACGTGGCAGAAAAAGTACCCACTATTCTTTCTCTCTAAGACCAACAAATTACTGATGCACAACCAGCTGGGTGACATGCACACCAAGCACTGTTACGCTCCTTGGAAAAGGGTGTCAGAGCCAATAGTTTTCTGGGTTTGACGCACTCGGTGGAGAGTGGTATGTTTCCCCTATGATTCTGCATAATTTTCTACTTATGATATAATTGTTATGAATTCTGAATAATTGTTCATACTAAGACCTGTATTTAGCTAGCTATGATACTACCAAATCATTTATTCTTGTAGCAACAAGATTTCCAGAGTAGGACAACATCTAGTTGTCATGCTAAAATGTAGCCAGATGAGAACTTGCTAACACACATGTAGGGTAGGTAAAAACATCCCCAAAGAAAACCAAGCACTGCAATAGCAATGAACTTGTTCTAATAAAACCCACTTTATACCACAAGAGACACTACTGTAGTGCCTTAAGAACATGGGAAATAGCATGTCTTATGCAGTTTCTGATAGACAAACGTATACTTGAAATCAATTAATTTATGAAAAAGCCCACATGTTATTTCAGCACAAGTAACCTATCTGTACAGGAGCATTTCTCAATTTCAGCTCAAGAGACTAAAATCCACATTTCTACTGTCTTTGTTATGTTAGTCTATCATGAAAAGCTACTTGCATTACGTAAAAAGCAAGATGGGCTGGTCAGGAATTCAGCTTCCACTGCGATAAAGACTTAATACTGTGCCAGAGTTTATGATCTAAGTTACCAAAAGTAATACAACCTTCTGCAGAACAGTGTTCATGAAAATAAGCACAACTCTAAAGATAGAATGGCTGAATTGTTTCAAACAAAAGAGACGGCTCGTTACATCCTGAAGCCCATTAGTGCTCGCATCCTGTGGACGTGGACARGGGAGAAACAGAAATGGAAGAGTAAGCTCAGTTTCGCCAAAAGTTCGGCATAATTCCGTCACCTTTCTTAGCATTCTTTAACTGGGAAAGCCAACCAGAATAATAATGCATGCATAATTTGGCATGAGGGCCTGGAGGGCAGGTAAACAGCAAGATGAGAACATACTTTTCAAGCACCCTGATCCAAAGCTAAGAGCCAAGATATATACACGGCACATTGGTTCAGGGTACATAGGAAGAACCACCTGCTGGACTGTTAAAAAAAAAAAAAAAACCACCACCAAAGAAACGAAAAAAACAGGCAGTTATTTGAACACAGGGCTAAATCCAGGCCACGGATGAGCAATGACTCATCTGCTGTGACTGTGTAGAGCATCAGTGAACCATACAATCCAGTCTGGAACACTGGTGAAGACCAGGTGGAGATTTTAAGAGAAAAAAAAAAGAAATCATGGATGAAACAAGGAATTCCAATTATTACTTTATGGCAACATGTATAATGTTATATTTGTGTCTGAATTGCCTGGTGGAATCATGTAAAAACTGTTACTAGAAGCCAAAGATGTGGGATTTTAAACTAACACCATAGAAACAAATTAATTTTGCAACAAATGTAAAGGGTGAATTACAAGGTTTGCACCTTTTTCAGATACAGGATACAATGTCAATGAGGTGAGCTTTAGGATTTATTAGGAATTTTTTAGGATTTAGGGAAAAAAGTTTCAGCAATGAACCTGTTTTAATCAGATGATGCTATGCTTTCAGAAAATATTTGAACATTTCAGCAAGACTGGACTTACAAGAAAGGTACTTCAAAAAGAATTAGTCTTTATTCTGCAAAAGACAACAATAACTCAGGAAAACATATAGGAAACTTTTAAATTTAAATATTCCAAGATTGTTCTTGTCCTGACCTGCATATCTTCTAGTTGGCTTTCCAAAGACTTCTTTAACACCACCAACTCTTTTTCCTCATTTCCAGCATGTTTCAAAGCTTCTTCTAATTGCTGCTTCTCTTCCTGAAATGATAGGATTTGATGTGTTCAGAAATAGTGGTAAAGCCTTTAATCAGACATCAGAAGGCCTACAGTAACCAGTGCCATTTAAGTAGTGCACGCAAATTTGCAAATGCCTAGCAATGCATTCACTGGCTTCCTAAACTATGCTCGCTGTTGTCTATCCCTTGCAGGCTGAGACTTGCTTTTACACTGCTTTTCACCAGCAAAATCTTTGTTATATCTGCTAGTAAACTGCATCCTGCTTTTTTAAAACTAAGGCTCTGCTTAGCTTTCTAAATGACTCTGACTACCCTCTTATTTTTCACATTTTGTTCTTCTACAATGTATTGACCACATCATAGATAGCAAGACTACTTCAGAGACTTTTTTTCTTAACATACCTCATATCTCTTCATTTTTTCCTTTGCTGTATCTTCTTCTCCTTTCATGTTATTAATTTGGTTGTCCATCTCTCTAATTCTACTCTCTAGCTCATCAATTGTTTTCTTCAGCTGTTCATTTTCTTCTGACAGCTCTTTAACTTGATTTTCTATACTATTTCGCATTTCTTCCGCAGCATTTCTTTCACTCTCAAGGACAGCAGCACTCTAGTGAAAATAAAATATGTAATGCATAAATAGAACCTTCAAAAAGAACTCATATTGCTCCCCAGCACAAGTTTTACCACAGCAAATATAAATAAGATATAAGGTTAAACTGCCAATGAAGAAGTTGTTAACATTAAAATCTGTATGTATTAGAAACCTATATTCAGTTTACCAGAGAGAATGAACAATAATTTTTTTATTCTCTCAAACATAGGTACATGCAGAAATAATACACAACCTCTGTACAGATTCGTGTCTCTCCTGCAGATATGAGAGGGTATTTTTACTTCAACATATCCCTTTTTATTGCCCTCAAATATTTTCATTATTAAATCCCATTATTTTCTCGTAAGCTAACAGATATCAAGGGCCACGTGAGCCTTTAAGGARGCCAAACACCAAGGCCAACAGTCATTTACATCCACACAGCTATGCGTGGGGTGCACAGTGGATCATCTCTAAGGAACGAGAACAGGAATTATGTGWGTTTTGTTTGGTTGATCTTTGTTTTTAAATCTTTCCCCCCTTAAAAGAGGAAGCAGGTGGATCCCTATTGTACAAGTGCCACAGCCCATTCCAAAACAAGGTCTCACAATCTGCTGTGCAAACACAGCATGTTCAGAGCAGATGGGGAATGGGCAGGAAAAGGCAGCAGAGGCTGGGAATACCCTATAGTGGCAGCAGAGCAGCTCTCTGCAGTGTTCAGCCACCACTTGGGCAATACTTATTTAAATTCTGCTCAGTTTTCACTTGCTCTTCGAGGATAGGAGTTTAGCTACCGAGTACAATTTGTTTTCAAGAAGGTATGTTGCATATGTTCTTTTATAAACGAAAAATCAATATACAAACACAAAGATGAAATTATAGTAACTATTCATCACACGTGATGACAGACTTTTTGGCAGGGCAGCGGACTGCAGCATATAGCTTTTCAGAGTTAATCATGCCCTTAACCTCTCTAAAACCTGCCCTACCACTTAACCTCTCTAAACCTGCCCTACCACTTAAAAGGCTCTGCTTTTCCTTTTGTTACAGTTCAATTTGACACTTAAGAACTATTATGGAATTCATGAAGGAAAAAATATTTATACCGAGGTACTCTGTTATATTGCTTTACTAGAAAGCCGACTTCATATGTGGATGGAAACGTTTAATTCTGTGGATTAGAGAGTTTAGAGGTTCTAATCTCTGCTCTTCATCGACCTGTCAGTTAGAATTTCCTCCAAAGGAAAATTACAATGAAACTTGTAGTTCTTGCTCCTCAGCATTCAGGATATGAACTGAAACAATCCTCTGTACGAGATCTAGTTCTCTTCTGCATTCAGACTTAAAACAATCTAAGGCCAGCAGAACAATCCAGATTAGATCACCTCCAACAGCAGCCTATTCTTTCTTCCATAAGCACCTGCTGAGGAAGAACAACTATAATACAAGATTTCCCCTATTGCACCCTCCCAGATCTTAACTATTCTATAAAACATTTGATGGAAATATGAAAAGTACTTTTCAGTTATGCTACTTGTATTGCAGTTCTCAATTCTCCCCTCCCTCCAAAAGAGGCTTAAGAAACATTATATAAGAGGCTGTTTACAAATTACTCACTCCCTAGATTGTTTTCTAGCAAGCAACAGCCTTAAAAACATGCAAATTAGTTGGAGAGAGCAGTAACTCAGAGAGCACTGGGACTGTCTATGGGGTCAGTGAACTCATACAAAAAAACTGGCAACATAAATAGGCTGACAAGTTCTGGTCTTTGTAAATACTGGAAAAAATGTTCTTTTTTTTCTGAATAGATGACTGCTTTAAAAGCTCTGAAATAGAACTATGCAGATGTTTTAAAACTTCACTTTTCAGTAGCAGTCATATGCTCCTTTAATTTTTGCACTTTGCATACTACACAGCCTTGCTAATTAGCAAACACTCCAGCAATGGCTCCTTTTTGTCTCCTTTCGCAGCTCTGGAGCAGGGTGAAAGCAGCCGGGCGCGCAGGGGAGCTCAGCGCCAGCACTGCCGGTTCCTCTGCTCCTCCTCACCCGAGCGGTGGCCACTGCTGCCTGCCACGGCCRGGCTGCCCCTCAATCCCAATCCCCAATCCCACCCCTCATCCGCCGCTCTCCCCACTCTGTACCCGGAGCAGACTACACAAACTCACACAAACCACCATCAGACAAAACCTATGCACACGCTTCTATCCTCTTAATCAAACAGGTCCAAAATCAAGCTCAGCCCACACTGATGCAGTCACAGAGATCTACTGCACATTGTCTTCTGCTGCATGTATCTTAGTTTACCACTGAAGCCACTCTAATTAAACTGTTATTTTTTTGCCTCCTTCATCATGCATTTCACTAAGTTAGCAAGATACACGCTTAACTTTTACAAAAGGTTGAAGTATAAAGGGCAAGTTCCAAGTACCGGCTTCATTAACCTGCGTTAAAGCCTTGGAAATAAATTAGGTGTGTAAACACTGTCTGCCCGAAGTTCCAGCTGCCAGCAGGACCCGCACTAAATCAGCAAATCTCCACAGCTCTCTCCCRACCTTGGCATTTTCGCAAGGGTTATAATTTCACACGAGCGAACTGTTCCCAAACACATTCTTTGACATATCAAATACAAAATTCATTTCTTATACACTAACAGGCTATGTCTTAAAAGATACCAATAAAACATATATGCAAACTCCTATGTATGCTTCTTCAAGAAACTAGGAATAGTCTATTAGTATATACAGGAAGCTTTACTCCTAATTGCAATTGAACTTCAGCCATTTTCCTTATACAGTTTACATAGTAGAAGTTTTTCTCCAAATTTAACTATTGCAGTACAATATTCATAATTTTTTTAAACCTGTTCTGGGTGACACTCAAAAGAAACACAGGAGCAACATCTATCAGTTTATGCTGAAGCAGTAGTACAGTACACACGCTGCATGGTACATCACCTGCTGAGTATCATTCAGGATGATATTAGAAAACATCTTCAATTTGATAGTGAAATTTATGCAAAGTCAAACTGCACAAGCATCACCTAGATGTTCTTTGAGAAGATAATTAATACATATGAAGCCTTACTTCTGCAAAGGAGCTAGTTACATTAACTAGAAATAAAACAAAAACCTATCTTCACTTATCCAATGTAAACAATTAGATGAGAATCATATGCAGAGCTCTCCACTGGCATAACAGCTTATGATCTCCTAGATCATAATAGCTTATGGCTATATATACCCTATCCTGTAGCATCTTATCACATAAACTTAAGATATCACAAAAGACCATCTCTTCCTTTCTTTTCTTGACTGTTATTTGTATCCTGCCTTGCACATTGCCCCTTTGGGAAAACAGGTGTGACAGAAGGGAACCTGGTTATCATTAGAAAGGATATGCAAGGGAAACAAGAACTTTTATACCAATCCAGAGAAAACTTWTTGCAGAGGTCTTTACTGAACAGTTTACAGGTGCTTTAGAGCAGTAGCCATCAAATCATACACTGACAAAGCACAGCRGGATCTTCACCCTGTTATGCAGGCAGGGAACGCTATGACCACAGGCATAAGCAACTTAGAAGGCAAAATTACTCCCACAGAGACAAGAGGTAAAATTTGCATGCACCACAGGCAGTCTAAGGTTGAACAAAGATGGTATTTACTAACAGCCAGAGGTAATCCTAATCTCTTTGATTCCTCCATAAGGGCAGAAAGGCACACCTTTCACTTAAAATTCACTGACCAACTCACATATTCATAAAGGAGTTGAATGTCATTTGCAAAGSCGTTTAGTTGGAGGAGGTTAGAATGAAGAGGCCGAAAGCAGAAGACTAACAGAAAACTATAGGGCTAGCAAACACAACCAAGAAAAGCACGTCTTTTTTTGCCCAGGTAGGTAAATATTACACATGTAAATCAAACTGTGCATCTGCACCCCTTTATTCTCAGTGTGACTTAATTGTAAGGGTACTGTAAATGAATAATGCAAGTTAACACAAGGTCTTTAAGGCAACATGACCTGACATCAATGAATGATTTCTGTTGTTTCCCATTCATAAAGCATTTACGTTACTACATTTGGTATTTGTGGATGCTGGAAAAACTTTGGCAATCATTTTAACTAAGTTTATACAGCCCCCACTAACAGAACTGCAGAAAACTCAGAAAGTGCTTACTTAATTTCAATATCAAACTTCAACAAACATTACTTAACATAACATGCAATCTTTAGTTTTGGATTGTGGACTGCACTCTTCAAAGAGCTGAAATGTGATTATGTAAGTAAACATATGCAAAGTATGTAACAGATAAAACTGGTCAAGCAAGATTCTTGAAGACAAAAGCTGGAATGAACTACTGTATGTTCAGACATTTGCCATTAAAAAAAAGGGGGGGGGAAAAAATAAGCATTGAGGTAGACTACTGGCATCTTAATACAACATATCTCTCATATCGCTAGTTTCAAGACTGTAGTTTCTTCCCTTTGGCATATAAGGCATGCTTATTCCTCCTTATTCTCGCTTGTGATAGTATGTTTTATTTAATTAACTTCTTAAATTGTGGAGTTATTCTTATTTAAGGTCAAAAGTGACAAGGAAAATACTATAGGATTTTTGTTGCCTGCATTTGAATTTGTCTTTTCTTCCAATCTGTTTGTCTTTACTTGGGACTTCCAGAGCATTCAGTGCCTTCTCCCCGCTGCATGTAGCCTACTGCCCAGTAAAATTCCCATCTCTCCGATCCAAGCACGTATATTCCTCTAYTAAGCCACATCTTTGGAGATGTCTTATACACATTAACACCTTCTCATTTACTATTTTATGAACAGAGAAAATACCTCTTTATGCTTTCTCAAAATGTAATTTTACTGCATTTAAAATGATGTTTCAAGACAGACCAAGCCTCATCTACAAAGTTAAGCTATGGACAACGTGCAAATTTTTGACAAAAAGTCGAGAAACAGAAGCAGGGGGAACACCACACCACAACGAAAGAGCCCTCCTAGAACACAGTT